TGGGAAATACCCACGAAAGACAAAACTATGTTACCTCATTACTTATACATTAATCAGCAGGCCTATGCTTCTTGTAATTCCTATATAGTTTTATACCGATATTTTTTATTCGTTTGGGGACGTGTATACCATTTAAGATAACCGCCGCCTACATCAAATATAAACTATCAGCATTCAATATACGTTAACATTTTTGCGAATAAATTTAAGGCTTTTCGCAATAAAACATCTATAAACCATTCAGAGGCATGAGAGTGCCAGTGCTTTCCCCTCAGGCGCCTATTGTAAAAAAAAAAAAAGAAGAGCAATCACATTATTATAATTCTTAGGTTTTGGGTGATAATATAGGTCTATTATCAATAAATTTGAATAGGCCTATGTTTATAACTATTCCGACTGTTAAACTTCAAATAGGTTTCTTAGATTGCAATAAATATTTATCTTATTGAATATAGTTATCAGTATAACCTTTATCACTATAACAGACTATTTTTGTTACTTAAGCCTGTAATGGCCTGGGCAATCTAGCAGAGGCGTGTCCTATTTTTTTTGTTTTGCAATATGCTCAGTCTGATGCGTTAACTCATACTATCACTCAGTCACATACTTAATGTTACATCTATGCTATTAATTGACTGTATCAATTCAATTACATTCGATTGTACTTACTTTACCTCGAGCCATCAAGTGTTATTATCCGATACCATCTCACGATCTGAAGTTTCAGAAAATTAAATTTTCTCAAGTAGATCTAGGCCCTACGCAGTGCCTATGCTGTAAAGAGTATTACTCGAATAAACAAAATAATGGTGTAATACTATGTGAAGTAAGTTACTAAACATCAATGTTAATAACAGAATGTAATGACATGAGTGATTTTACCACTGTTCAGGCATGTTTGAAGTGAATGTTTTTGGCAGAGATTTTATCGGTTGTCACACTGACCTAATTTAGTCAAAAATTCTATGACTATCTTTTCTGAGTTGATTTCCCACGTCTAATTGATTCCCATAACATTCATATCCATATATCCAGCAGGTAGGCTAAACATGCAGGCCTATTGTCTAACTTTAACGTTATTTTCTTTAAAAATAAATACTAAATTTAATTGCTCCGTTTAATTGATTACTGAGAAACTGCTAATGATCTTAGAGAGTGTATCAGAATCAGACCATTTAACATTCCCATCATACACCAGTGTTGCTCATGAATTACAACCTCATTGTTTAATTTGATATAATATGAATTATTTATTGCGCACAGTAATGTGTATTCCACTAAAATTGTCATAAATTTTATAATCATGTTTGTTAGGCCTAAGTGAAACTCGGTTACGGAAATGGTTTTTCTCCATGTGGTCTAGTGTTAAAAAAACAACACTGTTCGTAGACAATTCGATTTTTAGTGAGTTTTCTTTATTTTCTTTTATTCCTTAAAACTACAAAATGACAAAATCATTGTGTACTACACATCACATGTATAACATCAATATATTAACCAGTCCCACTACCACTAATGATTACAGAGCCTATATATATATATATATATATATATATATATATATATATATATATAAACAAATAAATAAGTAATGATGACAGTGCTCAAATAATATGTTATAATTGTATCAAGCACATCCCTTCAACGATCATCTTTTGTGTACATATAGGTCTATGCAGTAGGCCCTATATAAAATATAGATTATAAATATGACTATAATGAGAAAAAAATACTAGATATACTATTAACATTATATTACGTATTATTGAAATTAAAGATGCAATGCATTACAGTATTTACAACTATAGCTACATACAAACGAATTATCCTTAATTTGATCTAGGTCTAATCCCGGTAATGTTTTCATTTATGTTACAGATAATGTATATTTAGAATGTTGATTTCTTTTTTTTTCTCGTTTTTTTTTTTTTTATTTCAGTACAAAATATATTTGAATTTAAATCACATGTTTTAAGCAATAGTACAAAGACAAGAGCAGACACACTTTATTGTCGAAAAACAGACTGGGAATTCGTTTCCTCTGACAACACATGTAAATTACAAAACTTAGCAGATTTTCAAGATAATACACCTAGGATCTATCGCAATACACAAAAGTAAAACATTATAATTGCTCATATGTAAGAATAAAGTAAATTATTCATTTACAACGATACACAGGCCGAAATACTGTACGTAACGTAATTCAGTTTTCACTTAGGCCTACATGCAAACTGTATGCTATAAAAATCATTCATATCCAATGATTATGTAAATGTTCAAATGCAAAGGATATTTCATATATAAAATGTACTATTTGTGAGAGGGAATAATTCTCTCGCCCAATTCTTAAACTGAAAATGAAAAAAAATTGAAAGTTTGTATATAAATAAATAAAGAATATTATAATAAGTATAATAAGAAATAAGGAAGAACCCAATTGTTTCGTATTTCGTACGATTCCTATTATTATAATAATTATTAGGCCTAAATAACATGAAATATTAAAGAACCCAATTTATTCAACAATAATTCTCTGTTTATTACTTAATGTATAATGGATATTAATAATAATAATAACAAAAATAACAGAATAGGCCAATTATTAATAATATGATAATAACAATACTAATAACAATATGAATAATAATAGTAATAATAAATAAATACTATTTATAATAATAATAATAATAAAATTAACAATAACAATTAAAAATATTAGCATTAATATAATAGAACTAATAATAATGATAATAATAATAATAATAATAATAATAATAATAATGGTAATAATAATAAAAAGAAGAAGAAGAAGAAGAAGAAAAAGAAGAAGAAGCGTTATCATCTTTATTATGACTATTAGTATTATTACTATCAATATCATGGTTATTGTCATAAATAAATCATCATTATCATTGTCATTATAATTTCAATAAATAAATTTATAAATGAATTTGTTTAAATAAATATAAATTAATTTAATAGATAATACTAATAACAATACAAACAGTATGGATGATTAAATAGTTAATGATATGTTAAAATGTATACCTTTGAGCATTCATGTGCCTTACGTTACAACAATTCTCAATTGCTTTCACCGTACTTCATTTGAAAATATAAATATATTCATAAGTTTAAAGAGTATAATTAGTTACTTTTATATTAAGTTAGTTATACTAAATACACAATCTTTAGAATAATAATAATGATAAAAGAAACAATAGTAGTAGTAGTAGTAGTATAAATGATAATAAGAAGTGTTATCATCTTTATTTATAAACATTATTATCATTATCATGCTTATTGTCAGAAATAAATCACCATCATTATAATTATTATTTTAATATAGTGTTTAAACAAATACAAATAAATTTAATAGATAATACAAATAATAATATAAACCATAATATGGATGATTGAATAATTAATGTTAAGTTAAATGTGTACTTTTGAACATCTATGCCTTATTACAACAATTCTCTATTGTTTTCATCCTATTTTTATTGAAATTATATAATACCAAATTAAAATAATATGTTTAATTAGTATAATTAGTTTTGTTTAGACCCTATATTTTTTCTGTATTCATCGTTATCGCTGCTATGATTCACACATGTCATATTAATTAAACAATTATTAATTACAACGTGCTGTGTTCATTGCGGAAATTAAAAACAGAAACTGACATTAATTGTTCAACAGCCAAACATAATGTAATTACTGATCCATCAAATACCTGATAACATCCACACACAAAGTGAAAGTGGTAGTCGTTTGCAGTAATAAGTAACTACCGGCGCATTCGCTCACCACTCCACCCTCCCTCATTGATCAATTTCGGAGTTAAATATGAAGAACAACAAAAATATTTGAGCCTATTGAGACCGATTGGCAACTATTGAAGTTCACTCCAGTGTTCGAGGCTGCAGGTAAAACGAATAAACAAGTGTTTACAAACGGGATGTAAGCTAATCAACTCGACTCAACTTACTTTAGATAGAAATAATGCCAAGTATATATTATTTTTTTAATGATTTTAATTTTGTTTTGATTGTTCAATACAAAAACCTAAACATAAGGTAAAATAACGAAAACAGATACCGATAACTGCTTGGGGGTGTCATCCAGGATGACACCCCCAAATATAGATAATGTGTGAGAAATGTAACAAACAATCACAAACCTAAAGTTGTTATTATATCATTGAGATGCTGATAATGAAGATACGAATAATTGTTATCATAATAAGTTTTTATAAGTTTATGTGAACGGAAAGTAATAGATAGTAGTATTTCACTCATAAATAATCACGTGCTCAGAGTTATTGGTTTTGTAGTATTTGAAATTGCAATGTGGATGTAGCGTTAAATTGAATTAGCTATAACTACAAGTACCACGAGTCTATCGGCCAATGGCACATATATATGTATAATGTACACATATTTGAGGGATTTTTTTTTTTTTTTCAGATTGCTCTTCTTTATAGTTTGCAATTTAGGCATATATTCTTCAACAAAATGCATTACCGCAAGACGGTTTAGACTTTCTGTCTTTATGTAAACATTATATATACTATATATATAATACATAGGCCTATATATAATATATAATATATGTATATATATAAATAATATATATATATATATATATAGTAATAATATATATATATATACTTTCGACATATTCATAATCTATTAAGTGGTCTTTAGGGTGATGTAGGGCTTACGCTAACTGATGTGAAGCATGCTGTTTTTGCAGTACCCTGCCCTTATTTATTGCACCTCGAGGCGGATGAGTAACATTTTGTAGACAATACTTATAGCGTACGTGTAGGTGGCCCGACTGACCTGGTAAAGAGAGGAAATGACGACTTGTAGAAAAGACTCGTCATCTTTTAGACCTGTCCAAACGCCTTTGCTCCAATCAATAGCGATTTACTATCTCTCTGGAGGTATCAGTGTTTTTGTCTTTTCCGTTTCCTGATTAGGCTATTCATTGGCATAGCGTTAAATATTGACTGCATTATTCCTGCATGTTGACTTTACGGTTCTATCTATCACTAAACGGTGCTCGACCTGAAATAAGAGCATAATGCTTTTGTATTTGTACCAATAATCCAATTTTTGACAGAAATATTACAAACAATTCATATGTGTACATTGAATACATGTTATACCAATGCTCCTTGTGGAAACAATACTGCTTAAATATGGGAATCGTACACTTTGCTTTGATTTTACCCTTCCTGGCAGGAATCATGGACGGAATGCCAAACCGGGGAAACAGACAACAGTCAGGAGGATTTTCATGCAGGTAAGACAAACTTCTACCATCCGCGCTATTCAGAGTCTGTCTCTTATACACATCTAGATGTGTATAAGAGACAGCCACTCCACCCTCCCTCATTGATCAATTTCGGAGTTAAATATGAAGAACAACAAAAATATTTGAGCCTATTGAGACCGATTGGCAACTATTGAAGTTCACTCCAGTGTTCGAGGCTGCAGGTAAAACGAATAAACAAGTGTTTACAAACGGGATGTAAGCTAATCAACTCGACTCAACTTACTTTAGATAGAAATAATGCCAAGTATATATTATTTTTTTAATGATTTTAATTTTGTTTTGATTGTTCAATACAAAAACCTAAACATAAGGTAAAATAACGAAAACAGATACCGATAACTGCTTGGGGGTGTCATCCAGGATGACACCCCCAAATATAGATAATGTGTGAGAAATGTAACAAACAATCACAAACCTAAAGTTGTTATTATATCATTGAGATGCTGATAATGAAGATACGAATAATTGTTATCATAATAAGTTTTTATAAGTTTATGTGAACGGAAAGTAATAGATAGTAGTATTTCACTCATAAATAATCACGTGCTCAGAGTTATTGGTTTTGTAGTATTTGAAATTGCAATGTGGATGTAGCGTTAAATTGAATTAGCTATAACTACAAGTACCACGAGTCTATCGGCCAATGGCACATATATATGTATAATGTACACATATTTGAGGGATTTTTTTTTTTTTTTCAGATTGCTCTTCTTTATAGTTTGCAATTTAGGCATATATTCTTCAACAAAATGCATTACCGCAAGACGGTTTAGACTTTCTGTCTTTATGTAAACATTATATATACTATATATATAATACATAGGCCTATATATAATATATAATATATGTATATATATAAATAATATATATATATATATATATAGTAATAATATATATATATATACTTTCGACATATTCATAATCTATTAAGTGGTCTTTAGGGTGATGTAGGGCTTACGCTAACTGATGTGAAGCATGCTGTTTTTGCAGTACCCTGCCCTTATTTATTGCACCTCGAGGCGGATGAGTAACATTTTGTAGACAATACTTATAGCGTACGTGTAGGTGGCCCGACTGACCTGGTAAAGAGAGGAAATGACGACTTGTAGAAAAGACTCGTCATCTTTTAGACCTGTCCAAACGCCTTTGCTCCAATCAATAGCGATTTACTATCTCTCTGGAGGTATCAGTGTTTTTGTCTTTTCCGTTTCCTGATTAGGCTATTCATTGGCATAGCGTTAAATATTGACTGCATTATTCCTGCATGTTGACTTTACGGTTCTATCTATCACTAAACGGTGCTCGACCTGAAATAAGAGCATAATGCTTTTGTATTTGTACCAATAATCCAATTTTTGACAGTATATAAGATATACATATATGTATATAGGCCTCTATATAAATAATATATTCAAATGTTATGTTCTATTTATTTACCTATTTGTTTTTATATATATCACCGATTCTGTTTTAAAATACAGTGGAATTAATCATTATATAGCCCTATATATCATTTTGTATTTTATTCTGGTAAGAAAGAAGCAGAACATATACCGGTAAATAACATATAAATAAAATATAAATAATATGTATGCATAATATACTATTTCCTACCATAGGGGGAAACAATAACAATGGAAAGCGTTAGAAATAACACCTTAAGGTGAAAACACTGCCGCTAAGGGGAAATTTTAATGACGTTAAGGAGAAATCTAGACATAGGATTTTTCTCCCTATGTCTGAGATAGTATGTTATATATATATATCATATTATATATTCATATTTGTATATACATACCTATATATAAATAGATATATAAAACTTTATATAGCCTATTTACACAAGACCTATAAATATTAATATATATGATATGTATATATATTATATATAATATATATGCATATATATCATATTATATATTTATATTTGTATATACATACCTATATATAAATAGATATATAAAACTATTTACAATTATGAACATACAGTTTTGGATTTGTTGACCTCTTGCCCTTGTTGTTATTTCTTCACTAGCTGCTGCTTATATAAATATTAATATATAATATGCTATTATATATATTGTACAATATACATATATGTAATATATATATATATATATATATATATATATATGATATCATACACTCATTATAGTATCATATATTTATATTGTATATATTATATATTGTATATGCATACCTATATATAAAGAAGTATATAAAACCTTTAGAATTATGAAAATACAGTTTTTTACCTCTTGTCCCTGTTGTTATTTCTTTAATGCTCATTCATCTCAAAGAACCAAATGTCCAGTGACACACTGACAAATTATAGTTGCTGCGTACAACTATAAGCATAGGTCGTATAATAATAAGTATTATATAATATATATATATATATATATATATATATATATATATATATATATAGCGTTTATTATTATTATTCTACAACTAAAATGCCTTAATTAATGTTTTTAACTTGTCTCTTTTAACTATATTTATTCACTGTATATACATAGGCTATATCCTTTTTTCCATAATTATATTAGTTACTTTTTGCTTTTCTTGTTATATTTATAATGTTTTCATCGTTTTCGTTTTTTGGGCAGATGAAACCATTTGGTAATAGCAACTTGTTCCTCTTTCATCTTTCATCTGTATGTTTGTTCTATTATGTTTTTTGGAGGAAATATATATAAACTAATTTTATATCAATGTCAGAAACGAAGTTATATGTATGTTTGTGACTACATGATCTCTTTGACACACACACACACACACACACACACACACATATATATATATATATATATATATATAAATTTATTCGTCTTGATATAAAAAGATTATTAAAAAGAAAGTAAATTATTATTGTACACAGTAAATTTATCATAAACATCTACAAGGTAAATGTGGTTTTTCATCAAGTTGAATATCAGGGATTTAACGAATTATGCAATACATTAAGATGAAATGTATCCGAATGGAAAATCAAACTGGTCCATAGTAGTTAGCAGTAGGAGAGATGACAGGATTTATGTGTTCAACTTGTGTGATGTCAGTTAGTTAGGAGATGTACAATCTTAAAACTCTTTGTGTAGACTTTGTACAGAGATTCCGTCAGCAATGTGATAACAAAATCAACGCAAACAGCAAGTTACACAACCGTTTTGCATTATCTTTTTACTCCGAATTGCTATTCACAGTAACAAATTAAACAACAGAAAAAAAACAACATTGAAAAAAACACACTGTCTGAGATTTCAAAGAAGACACCAACATTGCCTCTCAGAAAAAGCTCTGCCATTATTAGATTATCGGCACTATATAATATTTATAAGAAACGTGTAAATCATTAATTTGTTACGTTCAGATAGACTATAGGAGATTTTATCCCGGTGTATAAAATATTGTACCAACTAGGCCTAGACATTCGTAAGATGAGGCCCAAATTCAGATCCAGCTAACATAGTGTACATAAAATAAAATGACTACAACGCTGCTCATTTATCTAACAAACCTACAATTGAAATTTGGAATGTTAGACCTAGGCATTAGGTTGTTCCATCTGCAACCGAAATTTGTATAAGGCCTACTACAGAGATAATATTATTCGAACCTGGTAATTAATACAAAACGAACAACTAACGTTCTAGACTATTATGTTTTCATTGTCAGACCTCTTTATTTAAATACTTAAATTTATTGGCGCGGATACCATAACTTAGGACGGAAAAAGAAGAAGAGGAAAGAAATAAATTTTCATCTGCAGAAACACGAATTTTATAGATACAACGAGAGCTTTAAACTCTAAAATGAAAGTGAAATAGTGAATCCAAAGTTTATTGAATTAGAATCCTTGAACATCAAAATTTACACTTTGATCGTCTGATCTTATCGTAATCATCAATAGAGTAAAAACATGAAATAAAACGAGAGTGCTCCTGATATAGGGCCTAACGATACTGCAAAACCCCTCAAAAATCAACTTAAACATTATTACTCATGTAAAACGATCAAAATAAGTCATCAGCTTCTAATAAGACACAGATCAAAACAATTCCGTTTCGCTGATTACAGACGACTTTTTGCCAGCCAATTTAAGGGTCTACGCACAGCGTCTGTTAATTGGCTCGATATTATATTTAATTCTAAAGCTAATAACTTGCCTTTAATAAGGCCTATTATGAAGTAAGCAATTCACGTATTTAATGGTCTTACAACTGTATGCATATCAGCCCAACGCCAACAGTAGGCCTAATTTTAAACAATCATTGATTTAATCAATAAAGAGTCAAAGCGCACTTTTAATAGGGCCTAATAATATATTTTATTGCCAAGCACAAGCCTTCGTTCGCGCAGTGAACTGAAGGAGTACACATTGCGTGAACAAAATCTCGTGCTAAATTAGTAAATTTTGGTAGTCTTATTAGCGTGTTGTTTTTATTTTTCCTGACTGCATAGTTCAATTAGTATAACATGGCTACCCCACTAGTTCACGATTCACGATCAAATCACGATTTTTTTTATAAACCACAAACAGGCCTTACATGCTGTTTTCTATTAGCATCCATTGACAATTCGCTCACCACTAGTAGGCCTACTGCTAAGTATAAGTACATTAAAAACAAGTTGAGCCTAAGTGGAAATTAAGTGTCTATTTAATGGTCCGACACAATTCCGGTACATGAAGAGCAAAGCTGCGCTGTGCCACTTTAAAATATTGTCAAGTCAGCTCAGTCAATGCCAAGTCAGTGTGGCAAATGTCAAACACATTTTTATAACCATCATTAATTGTTCGATCTTGTGTATTTTGGGTCGTCATACATTCACATTTTGTAAAATAAATACCTTTGGTTTAGGAATCAGTGTTGTCTGGTTTTGAGAAAAGGTTTATACTCACAGGACGAAGCACGAATAAAAAATAGGCCAATTTGATTTTATCACTAATTTTAGGATGAAGTAAAGATAAGGAATTGCACAATTTAGCACGATCTTTCTAACTACCGGACGGTAGGACCCACATAGAAATTAGGCTTAAGTGTTTATTAATAATTCGACATAGTCCTGGTACTACACTACGTTGAAAAAAGAGTAACGTATTCGCAGTTAATACCAAGTGTGTCGTAAAAAAACCCACATTTTTTAACTTACGGGACGAGCAATAATTAGCATCTATCTTGTGTTGTTTGTGTCGTCATATATTGTTTCGTGAAATAATCAACTTTGTTTTTTCGCATCAATGTTCATGATTTTGAAAAAAAAGGTTATACTAACACGACGAAGCACGAATAGAAATTAGGCCAATTAGATTTTATCATTAATTTTAGTATGAAGTAAAGATAAGGAAATGGGGAAATCAGCACGTTCTGTCTAAATACCAAATACAATAGGAGAGGTTGGCCAACATGTCCCAGTTGGTTAAGGGGTCTGCATAGACAACAGACGGTCCCGGGTTCGAATCCCGTTCGGAGCAACTTTTTTCACACTCGCACGTTCAAAATTTATATATCATTATGCATTAACGCACAATAGTTAAGGGGTCCTTCACAATTATCAACATTTTCGCAAGTGTACAAACAGTAACCTTTTTCGGTATCCCCTCCGTCCCCTCTAAAAGTGTACAAAAAATGTTGATTTTACAAAACCATTCTCCATTTTTGTTGTCAACTAAAGCAATACATTTGGCTGCTTAAAAATGAATGTTATATCCATGGTTACATTATAATTTCGCCATTATTTTACATATTGCATGTTACGGTATTTTGAATCAACATTGTTATGCATATGTAAGAGTATACACATTTGCCTACCCCCTCCCCCTAAGGGTATCTCTATATTGATGTAGACACTAAAATCATTTATTTATAAGATATAACAACATATTTTGACAAATCAAATCAGATGACGTTAAATCATGGAAAAATATTAAAATCGTAGTAGTAGCAACGATTTTATCGTTTTTCCATGATTAGCACGTCATGTGATTTGATTTGTTAAAATATTTTGTTATCGTATACACGATAAATCGTTATTGAATCGTCCTAGTGTAGAAACTTCTCTTATTTCTTTTGTTTTCTATAATGAACAACCGCTTTTTAGCATTTTTATCGTTATATTTATCGTTGAAGTATAAACAGGCCTTTACTGCAGGAAACAAACGTAAGCTAGTTGAGAGACAATTAAAATAAATAGATTAAGATGGTACAGACATATAAAGAGATACAATTAAAATGATATAATCAGATGGATATCAGAAAGAGTAGGAATTAGAAGAAGACGAAACGGATGAACTGCGTAAGCAAGACGGAATAGTAGTAGTCGTTGTAGATCACATACGATGGAGGGCGATATTAAGAAGACCCGACCCCACTATGATAATAAGGATGATGATAAATATAACGATGAAGGCTAGGTGGCGATGGCGATAACATGATTGTGACGGTTATGATTATGTTGATGATGAACACAGCAAACAAAATAATATGTAACAAAAACGACAATTTACAAGTGTGAAAATCAGATACTCGACCGGTATGTGCGTATATATATATAGCAACTGTGGTACATTCGTTTACAAAGTATAATCATTTATATTAAATATTTATTTACAGTGATATAACAATAATGCAAAAAGGTTGGGATCATTACTTCAGATGCTGTAAGAATGGATACGCAGGCACAAGCCCTTGTCCAATTGGTTAGTATATGGAACTTAAGAATTTCATCCATTACTATTATTATTATTATTACCATTATTGTTATTATTATTATTATTATTATTATTATTATTATTATTATTATTATCATCATCATCATCATCATCATTATCATCATCATCATCATTATCAACAGCATCATTATCATTATTATTTTATTGTTAATCATTGAGGCATCAGGTTCTTTGACTGATATTGGCGCAATATAAATATTTTATTATTATTATTATTATTATTATTATTATTATTATTATTATTATTATTAAAATAGGAGAGGTTGGCCAACATGTCCCAGTTGGTTAAGGGGTCTGCATAAACAGCAGACGGTCCCGGGTTCGAATCCCGTCCGGAGCAACTTTTTCACACTCGTACGTTCAAAATTTATATATCATTATGCATTAACGCACGATATAGTTAAGGGGTTGTTCACAATTATCAACATTTTCACAAGTGTGAAAATCAGATACTCGACCGGTATGTGCGTATATATATATATATAGCAACTGTGGTACATTCGTTTACAACAGTATAATCATTTACATTAAATATTTATTTACAGTGATATAACAATAATGCAAAAAGGTTGGGATCATTACTTCAGATGCTGTAAGAATGGATACGCAGATGCTGTAAGAATGGATAATCGTTATTATTATTATTATTATTATTATTATTATTATTATTATTATTATTATTATTATTATTATTATTATTATCGTCTCCATGCAGCTTAATTCGTTCAGGTCTTCAGACATTCGCGGTTAATTGTTGGTGTATTGACCAAGAACAGTTTTTGAATCTTTAATTTGTAATAATCTTTGTTCTCTAACAGACTGTCCATGCCAAAACAACGCTAAATGCGAACCAGAAAAACGTCGTTGCGTTTGTCCGGCAGGTTGGACGGGACGCTTCTGCCAAGACAAATGTATGGAGGGTAAATATGGCATGAACTGCTCACATCGATGTAACTGTGGTGATGGGGCGCGCTGCGACAGATTCACAGGCAACTGCGTCTGCAAGCAACCAGAGTAAGTCGTCGTTCCCGCGAGCCTCGATATTTATATTAATATTCAATTAGAACATGTAATATCAAACATCTATACACAATGGTATAATATACCATATTATGATTAAATTCTGTATTCTTTTTAGATCCCGTAAGTAGGACTGGCTAACTACATAGTAAAATGTTAAAAGTACACTAATAATGAACATTTGAACGAGTAGCCACATTAGTATAGTCCATCTATATGACACAATTGGCATAGATGAGTGCAGTAGCCCATTTTAAACCTCATGACATATCTTTCACAACGACTATTGACATGACGTCATAATAATTGCTGTTCAATTAAATTATATAGGTTAATATTAATTATATATAGATGGTTGTGTATAATCTATAATGCGAGGGTAGTCAGATAAAATCAATTTATTTATCCATCCACACATTTGTCCTTCCATCCATATCAATCAATCAATCGTTGAATTGTTTATTCATTCATTCAATCAACCAATCAGTTAACCAATCAACCTTCAATCAATCAACCAATAAATCACTTAATCAACTAATCAATAAATTAATCAATCAATCATAAATTGATAAATTTATCAATCAATCAATCAACCAATCAATTAATTATACAATCAATAAATTAAAAAATGATAAATCAATCAATCAATCAACCAAAAAATAATCAATCGATAAATGGATCGATACAACAATAAAATAATTAAACTTGATTAATTAATCAATAATTCAATTGATAAATCAATCAATCAATCAATTAGCTAACGACTCAGTCAATAAATAGATTGATCAATCAATCATTCAAGGATTGAAAGTAAATTTGTTTTAGTCTTGGAAAAAATCTGGTGTTATATAGAGGTTTTTACTACAATGACGATTGACAACATTGACGATAGTAGTACAATTATAATAGAAACGATAGTGGCCTACTCGTGCCAACAATATAACGGACAGACAGTGTGAACAAGACAGTAAATATGGGCCTATTGATATAGGCCTATAGTAATGACAAATCAGGAATTGTACTAATAATGCCGCTATAAATTGAAGACGACAGAAAGACCGAACACGACAATATTCGTTGAAATGAAATGGCAGCAGGTAAGATTAATAATGACAATATTTGAAACAAATAAAGAATGACTGAAGACCTAATTCTGCGCAACAGGTGTGCGGGCGTATGACGGACTCTACCATTGTTGTAAACAGGTGTATTTTATGAATCTGAACCATTTCTTTGTTATTATATTTAAACAAGATTACATAGGCCTATATCCCTTGTCGAATTCACGACCTATATCTTGATACATTTTCCATAAAACATCCGGTGATTACAGACGGTAAATTTTACAGATTCAAACTTTAAACGTATATAATACAATATAATGTATTAATACAATATATTTATTATTTGATTCTGTAGTTGCCGCGACAGATGTCCAAACGGATTCTATGGTGCCGATTGCTCAGAGAAATGTGTTTGCGATGATTCGGGATGCGATACTATCTTAGGTATTGGTACAAAGAATTCATCACTATACATTACCATCAAGATGTGATGATAGACTTTTCCGCTAAGACCCGCCCCTTGGATATTGTTGCTAAGGTCCTACAAAAACGATAGTGTTAAAACATACGCAAAGCACATGCGTTTGTGGGACAACACGTGTGTTTATTGGATATGCGCGTATTCCCAGTCCTGTTCTGATTGGTCAGTTGTTAAGTTTGATTGACATTTCGAACGGTCAATTATGGCGATCATCGTCGTCATTGTCATCATATTCACCATTATCTATATCATGTTCATCATCAACATCCTCATCACCATCTTCATTATCATCAAAATCCTCCTCATCATCATTTAAATATCGGACCTTTTATTTAATTTCTTTACGCAATAATATTTCTACAATAACAATAATATTTTTGGTAGGTAGCCTATTTGTTAAAATAGTTTACCTCTTTTTTCTCACATGAATACAGTAAATATTATTTTATTACGATTTTATAACAAAACTTACTATACTACTAGTTATATGTAACAATGCAAATCTATAATTATTATAATTATGTGTAGTTGTAAGTTCACTTTTTAGTTACTGGCCTCAATATTGTTATAAATTATTGTTATTTTTTTTATTATTGTTATTACTATTGTAAATTTTACATTTTTCTGTCTTGAAATTTTGAAAGGGAGTGAATTTATTATTGCTAGTCTTGAATATTACAGGGAATTGTATTTGTAAAAATGGTGGAACTATTGTAAGAATGGACAAAAGCGAGTTGTGCTTATGTTCGCCCGGATGGCAGGCTTCTAAATGTGATGAGAAATGCTATACTGGTTACTATGGAGATGGGTGTCGCCATAAATGTGGCGCGTGCAGTGAAAATGCAACCTGCGATCACGTGACAGGTCACTGTACTTGCATAGACAAAGAAAGGTAAGAAACCCTTATATTTTTCTAGCTAATTTGATTTGGTGAATCATGCTTTTTTTTAAATACCTAATATTTCAAGATGTCATTTAACGCTTGTCAGCGTAGGTACAATGTATTATTACCTGTAGTCCTACTCACTGATTGAGTTCTGGAATGACTTGATGGAAATTATACCAAAGTCATATGTCTACCTCATTTTTGTTGTTAATAGAAATTAAATTATTTAATACAGTCATACTTTACGATTTCAATGAAGTGGGCGATAGAATATGTCAGAATATATGTGTAACGTATAAATCAAATGTATAATTACTGGTACTGAAGTCTTGCTCCCTTCAGTTTGACTACCACATAGGATAGAATAACGGTACGTGCCAGGAACCCTAACTAACTACACTGCAGGGGCGAATTTATATTTTTAATTATTTTTAAAGTGTTGTTCTTGTATCTATTGATTGTAATTAAAAATCAAATATTTGAAAATGTCTCATCCATTTTTTTTATGAGATGAGGTAGGCCTACTAGGATGTTTGTATTTTTGTAGGATTTTCGGAGTGTTTTTTTTTTTGCAAGGGAAAAAAATGGCGCCGCCGAAAAAAAGATGAGAAATGGAGAACTAAACATTTTTTATTTGGCCTTATTACCATAAATAATAATAATAATAATAATAATAATAATAATAATAATAATAATAATAATAATAATAAATTGTATTTATTTGTTTTAATTATGAGGCATAGGGAGTGGCACTGTTTTTAGTCATGGGGACAACATCCTGATATTAGGAGCAGGATTTGAACCCGGGCCCCTGGGATTGGAATGAGGGCATCTAACCACTAAGCTATTGCTCGTTTTCAAGTTGAAATATAATTAGCCATTTCCCCAGACAACCTTTTATCCCTTGATTACTTTGACTTGCTATAGCATTAAGCTAGAATAATAATAATAATATACTATTGTGATATAGTACTTTCATTTAACTCTTAGGCGTAATAAATTCCATGGTATTTTGCAAATAGCGGTGTTAATAGGCCTAAGTGTCGGATTTTTTTTGTTTTGTTTTTGGCATTCTTCATGGTATTGTTTGTATTAGTGGAATTGTAGCATCTAGGTTCGCAAACGTGCTTTTGGAATATATATGGGGCTTCGGTGGTTCGGAAATTATTAAATCGTTTTAATGACTTATGATCAAGCCAGGGATTACTCGTCTACCACATTGCTTACACTTGACCGTTCACGGACCAGTGACTAATGCCTATCATAAACTTCAATCACAAATTTCCTGTCCATAAAATACAGCTAATAAACAGAATTCCTGACGTGTTCTTAATAGACATATTGCTTAAATTGTCGATTGAAATCATCTAACATAGTGATGAACACTGTTTGTCGACACATTTCTTGTTGCCTCATTCTAAAATCATAATTATTTCCTGATACCTTAACTCGACCTTATTCCCAGACGGTCGTTATAGTTTTTCAAATAGTCCCCCTTATGTCCTAATCCGAATCGTCTCACATATTTTTTGTTCAATCGTTGACTTGCTTAATACAAGTTCTTAATTTAACAATTAATCAGATTTACTGTTGTCCTAATTCTTTGTTTATATTTTGGCCAGTAATGGTTTACAATCGAATTATTTAACGGTTTATCTTTTTTTTTTTTTTTTTTTTCTTTTTTTTTTTATCAAAATAGTTAAATTTACTCAATACGCTTTTATGTTTAGACATTCGAGCACATTCGGAATTAACCAATGTCTGTCTTGCTTTAGTTTTATGATGTACGGTATCTTAACTGTATTAATTTAGCCCAATATGCGTTATGTCTGTCTTGCATTAGTACCTTAGTGCTATTAATAGCACTTTGTGTAGGGCCTATACTGTGTGTTTGTATAGAGGGTGTTTGTGTGTGTGATCGTCGTCTCCTCGTTGTTTAATCGTTATTATTTCTTTTAATTAGGCCTACCCATTGCGCCTTCATTATTTTCATTTATTCATTCGTTTGTTCTTTTGCTTTTCGTTCCTCTATTCGTTCTTTAATTCACTTTTTCATGTTCGGTCGTTCGTTAATACATTGATTCTTTTATTATTTCATTCACTCGTTCTTTGTAAATTCATTAATTTATTCATTGGATGGATGAATAGGCCTATATTAATTTATTTGATCTGAATATTCTCACATTAGAAATTATATACAACCTGCATATAAATATAATTAATATTAATAACCTGTTTAATTTAGCAATTAATATGACGTCATGTCATTAGTCGTTGTAAAAGATATGTCATTATATATATTTGGCATAAATCACTATATATGTTTTAATCCCAAGAAATCTGTGTATGGTCTTCTCACCTAGGAAGACATCCCGGTAGCTTACATAAAATGAATCTCTGTTATACCGTTATATACCAAATATAACGGTTCAAGAAACCAAGTAGGCCTATCTTGGTCATATAATGGCTCATAATTTGAAAAACACTCAAGATATTTAGTGAAATTTAGCGACAATATAGATCAACATTTAAGAGCGAACATTTTAAGTCGTAAATTCAGCAAATGTTCAAATGAAGTAAAAACCAGTCTATTCCACTTATATTGTACCACCGTGTACTGTAGTAGGCCTAGTCTTTGGGCCAACTATACATAGATTAATATTAGAGAGCTCAATTTTGTTATAATAATGCATTAGGAAACTCCTTGGTCTACCTCGGCACTGTAATGAAAGTCAAATGTTTGTGTTAAATAATGTGCCCTCTTTCTATGAATATTTTAGAAAAACATGCTATAATTTATGTGTAGATTGGAAAAGAGTAAAAATAAAGCTAAATTACTGTTTTCAATACTTTTTAAAACAATCAGGACTTCAATAAAAATGGATGACTCTTCTCTGGGTTTAGTGTATTACTTTTCCTTAATTTTAATCATGTTTCTGTTTTCTGCATTTGTCATGTTCTTTTTATATTTTGTATTTTATATGGCTTTTACTGCTGAAATAAAGATTTGAAGAAGAATTAGTCCTAAAATATGTTACTTATCAAATTGCCAATTGTGTCTATAGGCCTAAATAGAAGATACTAATATGGCTACATGTTCACCTCTTCATTATTAATGTCAGCATTGTACTGAATAGCATTTTATGAATTGAAACAGTTTTAATAACTGTACTAATTATCTAAACTGATTATCACAGATGTGGCAACACATGTCAGGTTGGATACTCGGGTATTAAATGTCTAAAACGTTGTCGATGCCCCCACTCCAGTCCTTGTACCACTCAGGATGGTGACTGTGGCTGTTTCAAAGGTCAAATATGTGTACCAGGTATGTTTATCAACACATCTTTCTCAAATTTCTCAATGATACAAAATGAAAATAACTATTACCATATTGAATCAATGATCAGTTAAATTATGTAAAGCGTGCGCTTGAATCAAGTGTTGTGTTTTAAGAGATTACGTAACGTTAGTTTGACGTAAACTATTTTTTTTTGTCAGAAACATTAAGCGACGATGGTTCTGAAAGTCAAACGTCGACACTGTTAGCAGCGAGTCTCCCAGCAGCAATGTTCGTCGTATGTGCCGTTATGGCGTTAGCAACCAAGATTATGTGTACACGATGTAGGAATGCAAAAGCGGGCAGCAGGTTCGTTCTCATATATTTATTATTATTAGCCTATTATTATTTTTATTATTATTATTAGCCTATTATTATTATTATTATTATTATTATTATTATTATTATTATTATTATTATTATTATCATCATTATCATTATTATTATTATTATTATCTTTATTATTATTATTATTATTATTATCTTTATTATTATTATTATTATTATTATTATTATCTTTATTATTATTATTATCTTTATTATTATTATTATTATATATATTATATTATTACTATTATTATTACAATTATTTTTACTAATATTTTAAATACTTGTATTACCATTCTCCATATTCATCTTTTAGCATATAAAAAGTTGGATTCTTTATATGTTGTGGGAAATTGGCCTACATTAACTTGGCACCCATGATGCATTCGTGCATCATAGATCCTCTTTAATTCCGCCATAGCCCCTCACCTGCGAAAAAATAATACAATCAGAAAAATGGCAGTAATTTAATTTTAGATTTAACCGCCAATCAACTATATTTTTTTTATCAGCATGTTGCTAGGTATTGAGTCACCCATTAAGCCCTGTAATAGCACCACGAAATTTCACTGCGCATGTGTCATCTATTGCTATCGACAGCTTAGGTCAACACTATTATTGTTATTTATATATTTATGTTATTTATATAGTTATATTTTCCATATTTTATAACATTTTCCAATCCAATTAAAACTCTCGTGCATTGTACATCAAATTAAATTTTATTGTCACGCAGACCAAAATGTTTATAATGTAGCCTATATTTAAATGTTTAAAAGGAGATGGTTAATTCTCATTGCGGATTTACATTAAGCTTATTTGTTGTCTGTATAGTAACTAATTACTAAAAAAACTAATAGACCAAATAAATAAGTATACATGCTTATAAAAAGTTGAATATATCTGGTCTGTTCTAGTATATAATATTCACCGATTATGCGAAACAGATTGGGTTTAGGTTGATTTTCTTTCCCCCCTTGGTGATCAGATTCCTGTTCTATAATTTAATGTACTGTTGTACATCGTTACAATAATACACATAAATATATCTTCTCGTTATAGGGACGATACATATGCCACTGTGAATGAAATGGAAGAAAAGTGTTTGGAAAAAGATGAATCATGTAAGTAGTAATTGTCACACAATTTATTGCAAAACAATATAGGAAAATGAAGACAAAGCTTAAGTCTGGGGCTGTATTCCAAGTGATGGAATTACACAGGATAACCATTAAAACATTAAAGGAGATGCTTACCAATTTTGATATTAAAACTGATTTAGCATTACATCCCATACCAGTTTTTAAATTACGAATTTCGTGTGCGCACTAGTGACGTAGACGTTCTCAACTAGCTGCGCCACGGTCAAATTTGAGATAAACGCTACATTGTTGATACATTCTTTTCCTTTAGTTTGAAACTTAGGATGGAACTTCCAATGAAAATGTAAAACTAACTTGAAGTAGAGCCGTGTAACACTAACTGAAGCTCATCTTTAAATCCAAGGATTGTGTATTCAATCCCTGCAAACGTGAGGATTTGCTGCAATGATTCCAGACTATTTAATCGTGTGCTATATTCATATTTGAATTGCCAATTGACTCTTTCTCAGGTCTAATTGAAGTTTCAAAAAGCTTTGAAATAAAATGAATCGTCTATCACTACTTCTAATCTCAAAAGTTTATGCATAATTTGGTATTGTATCTTTACAGGTGTTCGTCCAACGAGTCAATGCTTCACAAATAAAACTTACAACAGTGTTATAGATATATTGCCAAAAGGAATGACTGTAATGCATCTTGTCTACGACGATGCGAACAATCCTGCTGTCAGCCACACGTATCCAAGAACTCCCAAGGCTAAAGAGAAACCTCATATTGCTAAAATGTGTCTTGGAGATACGGCGGGATCCCCTGCATCACTGCCAACACCACTTGACGCGTCTGGTGAATATCAAGAGTACAAACAGGACGATTCACAACCTGAATACATGGGGTTGATGAAAAATGCCGTCTGGAATTTCTTTAGACACAGCAACGAAAATGAAGATATTTATGAGGAAGCATTTGATTGTCCTGGAGGAGGAATACCGCGGATTAATATTCAGAACAGTGACGGTAGTCCTCCTGCCGGAAATATCCACGTTTTGCAAGCAGAAATGCATGCAACTCAAAAGAGTCCTACAAATACAAAGGACTCCAATAGCAGCCTAAATGATCTATCGTCAATTTACTCAAACATTATCATTTGTCCGATGTCTATTAACGAATTTGAAGAAAGTTTCAAGACAGAAATGTCAGACGCGACTGAAGATAGTGTTTTATTGAGTCGCGATACAAAGAGTAGTATGTATTCAAATCTCAAATACAACCTACAAAATACAGGAATTAAGTACGACGCAAAAAAGGGAAGCAGTGAGCAAATATCAGAAGAAATGACTGATGTAGTTGATCATGTGCTTCACTTTAGCGGGAAAGGTAGCGATGAACATCCGCTACATCATAATAGGCCGCGCTCAGTTCGCAGACAAATTAAAAGTTGTGGTAGTGAATACATAGAAGCCATAAACCCAATTTATGCCGAGTTGCAATTTAGTCAACCGGACAATGAACAAGAAAGTAGTACAGTGGAACCGGGTAAATGGAAAGCACTTGAGCATTTATTTGCAGACGATCTGTATGCGAATCTTGAACTGATTAGTTCTTCTGAAGCAATCGATTCTGAGAATGAAGGAGTTCTTTACACAAAAGTTGATAAAGGCCAAAAGAACCCTAGTCCAGGCGGTAGCCCTACCATCTCACTAAGAACGAGAGAGCGTGTCGGGGTGTACACAACCCTCGATCGAAAACTTAAGTGTGGAAAGTTACTGAGTAAACCTAGTAAATGGACTTCACAAGATAAAGGAAAAACTGTTGACTTCCGGTTATCACCTCCTTCACCTAGCATGATTCTAAAGTCCTATGATGCTGCCAAATATAAAACAAAAGACTGTGCTAGACCGTTACTTAGTCGTTCACATAGCTATGGCTTCGATGACGCAAGAGAATCTCGACATGTTCAGAGTAAAAACTCATGATTGAATATTGACGCTCATTGTGTTTGATGCAAATATTTCATGTAGCTCTGGATGGTTGGCAGGATGAACTAAATCACTGACATCCAGACATCTTTTAATGTCAGACTTACAATACTTCGTTGAGCATCGTCTAAAAGTTGCGAAGCCCACTGGTTTATTTTTGTATAGATGACATCCATGGAAGTTGATGCCTTGTAGAAGCATGCGTGGCTTTTTGACATGTATATATTGCTATGCAATGAATGATGGTGGATCATGACAATCAGTACGACAAACAAGGTGTTAGGATTAATCAAGTTTAAAATGGAAAAATTACTTTGGATCAAAATGACTTTAACGACCATTTTGGTTCAAAATGATTTCGACGACCATCGAGCTGTTTTACCAACACCGATGTTCAACATTCCGTTCACTATTCATCAAACATTTTGAAGAATTTCTTGACTCCCTACAAAGTAGGCCTATCTTTGTTGCCATACTCGATTATGATCTCAATTATAATAAATATAAAACGTTTGATTTAATGAAAATATCTTTGTAGAACGTACTCTAGCTAGGCCTGTAATGTTGTTTATAGGCTTGTTCACGAATACAGCAGTGTACATAGTGCAACCGCCTATGATGCTTTAATTTTAAGGTATCAAACAGAACCCAATCAACTGTATCCCTGGTATGACGATCTATCTTAATGTTATTAATGCTTTATATAGATGTGTATAAGAGACAGATTTAGGTCTCCGTGGTCTTGGGGTATGACGCTCGCCTTGATAACAAGAGGTTACAGGTTTGAGTCCCACCGGACTGAAAAGACTCATCCTGATTTTAATCTTCAACAGGGTTGGGGTCAATTTCAAAATTGAAATTGATCAATCCCGAAGGAGATCAGTTGGAATTAGAAATTTATACCTCATTCCCAACAACAACAGTTGTTCAGTGATACAACAAAGATTTAAAAAATCAATTCAATTACGGTACCAAATCAAATGTCTTAATTCACATTACTCTACAACAAAACAAACAACTAAAACGACTTGGGACAAAGTGGATTATTTATTTTTTTTAAATAATGATGACACAGTCGATGATATTTAATAGTCGCTAATGTTGTATTTTGAAATTAAGAAGTAATAAATAAAATTTAAATTCAATGGTGATTATTTGATTTCTATATATATTTGATAATTGAAAATCGTTTAGATTTATTATATTATTTTTTGGTAATACTTATTTTAATTAAAATCAAATCAAAAAATTAAAATTTCTATTCTCTTACTGAATGAATTACTAAATGCCCACATCTATGCAATATTTATAATAAATTTATATTTATTTTTATTAGATGAAAGATATACTCTCTGTTCTAAAACCCTTGAAAATGCAATTAAACATTTATAATTATTATTTCTTAAGCACCGGCACTCACTTAAAATGTATACGATGATATAGATAATATATAATTTAATGATTGACTTTCCAGATTTTGACAATGTTACCTTCATAAACCATGAGACAATGATTTAAAAAAAAAAAAAAAAAAAAAAAAAAAATTGGAAGAGATCTGTCATAGACTTGAGTCCTATTTCAACGAATTATGAATTTTGACGACTGTCGAACGTGAAGTGATAATCTGAACGTGACGTCATTTCATACTGAACCCATGTATAGGTCTATATTAGTCGTTTACATGACAACTTTCTTCGCCCTGTCAGTATACATTTGTTTTACGTAGGGATACGGTTTTTATATTTCCCCGATTTTGTCGGGAAACGAACGCAGCTTGAGGGATGTGGGATTTAAAGCCTTAGGCCTTAGTGTGTATTATATTAGTGCAATACATAGCAACGCTGATTGAACATTTTGAACATGAAAGTACTGATATTAAAATCTGTTATATTAGTGAAGTTTCAATAAATTGTAACGAATTTAAGTTTGTCGATATAGTTTTATTTTGCAAAAGTGGTTAAGAAAAAAAAATGACGAAGTATGTAGACAAGGAATGTAACATATGGAGTGATGACGGGGGAAGATCGAAATCATTATTAGATTGATGAATATGTATATGCATGCATGTGGAGGGAGTATTCCATAGTTTGCCACACAAAATAAATCAACGCATTTTTCAAGCGAACTACCTAGGTACCCTAGGTAGAAAGAGACAATGTGGATAAAAATGCGACGGTTTCGAACCCCAACATTAAGGTGGGACTAAAAAGTTTGAACGTCAACCATTGCGTCAACCAACCAAAAAAGGCCTTATTTAAAAATCACCAAAATAACATTGCTAAGAGTTGTGAAACGATAGGGGAGAGTATCGGTTGTCAATGAATAATGGGAAAGTCAGATTACTATCTCCCCCCCTTTCAATTCAATGGCTTTTGGGGAAATCATTTTAAATTAGACTCCTAAAAAATGTTTCCTCCCACTTACATTTTCGGAAATGATGCCACATTTAACTTGGCCACATAACTATGTAGGCCTATGCCCTTGGCACCAGCAGGCTGCAACAATATGTAAAGATCAACTTTTTTGTGTAGGGCTATGTTAACTTCGAACCAAGGACCACGCAGAAGAATGGAATTTTCCAGGGTTTCTTTTGTGGGCCTTGAGATTTGATCACGATACAGTAACAGCAAATTAGCCTATTTGAATGTGGGTGCCACATTGATTTTCCCCAGTCACATATTATGACCTACATAAACCATATAGCTCCATGCATAAACGAAAAGTTTCGGATCCAGAGGAATTCGAAATAGGCCTAGAGGTGACCAGATAGGCTTTACAGATGGAAGGTCCAGACCACGCTAGCCGGCCACCCATGATTGGGGCTGTTCCAGACTGCGCCCTGGAATTTTCTAATAATTTTCTAATAATTAGATGAGAGGAGAATCCGCGCCGGCTTGGTCCTTATTGAATCCAATGGAATGGAAAAAGTAGAAAATATATTAACCTACTATTCATCAGTCAGAGAGTTATTCGGAGTTATTTAATAATGTTATCAACTACGTCACTGGCAGTAAATCAGATCAAAATTTCAAATCAAATTTTATTTCACTCGCAACATAGATAGCACGTTAATATTAATCGAACTAAGCAGTATATCCAAATGTTTACAATATTCACTCCTATTGGCTATCATACATATAAATATTTATAGGGTGGTGACCATGGTTATACAATGTTCCAAAATAGCAATTTGATTTATTAGGCAAGCAGAGGATGCATCAATTATGATTATGATGACGTCACAGCAATATAGTAGTTTAATTTCGTTTACTGTATCCATCACCAATACAAATGTTTTCCCATATATTTTAAAACGAATATGATGGAGACACTCCGAGTCATTATTTTTATTATCATCCAGTATAAAAATCAGGATGCACATTTTTTAATTTCAATAATTTCTTTGCTTAAGAATAATAATTTGTCTTTTACTGCAATATGAGCAAGATAATTTTAAAAATTATTTTTTATGATTTTGTTCCGTCATTTTTCAGAGGGAAATACATCTTTAAGTTTAGGATTAAGTTTACCTAGTATAGATGACGCATTAACATTTTTCATTATTATTGAATGATCTCATCTAAATAACATGAGATTGTTTAAAATCAATCAATCAATCAATCAATAAACAGGATTTTGTAGAGGACCAATATCCATAGAAGAATTCAATGTTGAGTGGCACAATTACGTTAGCATTTTCAAAGTGCACAAAATTATTATTCTAATCAAACAAACGAAATGATGAAGATGATAATGATGATGATTGAAGAAGATAATCATGATGATGTAAAAAGAATACAATATTGATGATGATGATATTGATAAGGCAAGAAAATAATGCAATAAAATAAACAAAATTAAGGAATAATTAAACACGACTATTTTGAGTATCAGACACTCAGTGGGAAATTGGAGTAAGGGTGAGCATTACCGTTCTTCAAAGACACTTAACACCAAAAGTGGACACAAGAGGAACACTCGAAAATGTTGGTGAGGCACATGTAAATGATTGTTTCCTCCTAATTATTGAGTATCCATCTTGCCCAAGAAGTTGCTTGTTTGAGATGATGACGTCAAAGCAATACAGCAGTTTAATTTTGTTTACTGTATCCATTGCCATTACAAATGTTTACCCATATTTAAAGCACTCACATTCATAATTTGTATTATTATCCAGTATAAAAATCAGGGTAGGCCTACATATTTTAAAAATTCAATCTTTCTCTGCTCAAGAAAAAAAATGTGTATGTTACTGCAAAATCAGCACCAAGATAATTTCATAATTATTATTTTTTTGGTCATATTTTCAGGGGGGAAATACATCTTCAAGTTTCAGAATAAGTTTACCTAGTATAGATGATGCATTACAAACTTTTAATTATTATTGAATGAACTCAGCTAAATAACAATCAATCAATTAATAAACAGGGTTTTGTGAAGCACCAATAATATCCCCAGCAGAATACAATGTTGAGTGGCACAATGATGTCAGCATTTTCAAAGTGCACACAATTATCTATAAGATTATTCTAATCCAAAAAAACGGATGCTGATGAAAAGATAATAATGCTGATGTTGAATATAATCATGATGATGTAAAAGAAATACAATATTGATGATTATGTATCGATGTAAGAAAAGATGAAATTAAGTAAAATAAAAAATTAAGGAATAATTAACACGACTATTTTTAGTGTCAGACACTCAGTGGAAGATTGGACTAGGTGAGCTCAACGTTTCCTAAAAGACACTTAAAACCAGAAGTGGATCCAAGAGGTAGAACATTCGAAAATGTTGGTGCGGCACGTGTATGTGAATGATCGTTTGCCCAGAATACTGAGTATTCATCTTGCCCAAGAAGCTGGTTGTTTGAGGATCTGAGAGGCCGTGGTGTGTACTAAAGCATGAATGATATTTTAGGGCGACTTGCGCAAAATATTGGAAGATGTGCATTCGTTCATTTAAGCTTGAGGTGATGTTCTCGCTCGCTTCTTGGTATAAGGCTACAACATTGCAGACGCAGAAGACGCAAAAATTATTGTGGAACATACAGTATTCACTGAGACAAATATAAAACATTGTCTCAGGTATTTAGAAATACTGTATGAGACAGTCAATATGGCACGAATTCTTAGTAACGGGACATGAATAATTTCATTTTAAAAGGCATTTGTTAAAAATAGCACTCTTACAAATCTTAACCATGAATTTCTATGTTTACCATGTCAAGATTCTCCAGACGAATGTCTTTATGTAGGCCTACAGAAGAAAAAAAATAGTAAAAATATCTCTGAAAACATAGTCTTGTGACTCTACGGTGAACTTTTTTTAAAAATATCTTAAGTGTTGTTTCATTTTAGGTTACCTTATTCTGGTAGTGGACTAAATTGCACTAATTCGATGATTACAGCCTAAATTAATTGTCACTAATCAAGAGTTTTAGGATGCTTTAAACTCAATAATAATAATCCTACGAACATGTGGTCCCCTATAGAACTAGTCTAAAGGGTGATATTATTTAGTTACATCCTAAGGTGTTTTCTTGATTCTATCACTAGTTCAATAAACACATTATCATTATTACACTTGCCTGTGAAGTCTGAACAATATTATGACATTTATATAAGCCTATATAAATCATAACTAATACATCGGATTCATACATCGAAATGATTCTTTAAATATTACTTGTTCTGTACGTAATCGGTTTGCAATACTTGTATGGACGAGTGTTGGTAAAGGTATTTCACTTGTTTCATTTTGTCGTCTTTTGCTGGACATTTATTTAAAATTGAAATGTCAGTAATGATAATAAGTACCGTAAGGTAACTTTTAGTGGATTTCAGAATAACGTATTTGTTCTGAAATCTAATTGTTGCATTAAGATAACATAAAAAATTACAATACAATATAAAATACAGGTATATAATACAACTTATAGGATCATTATTATCAATAAAATGATGACGGTACAGTAAAACAATAGTATAATCACTTATTACTTATATGTTATTTTTGAATGAAAAATATCGAAATATTATTCGAAAAACTGGTTAGAGTTGCTAGAGTTTCAGACATGATACAAGAAATTTCTTTTATTGGTAACAGAACGGTCGACGGCATCGACCATAAACCATTACTAACAATGAGAGCGAAGACTTGGCAACATCGACAGTATTGTTAACTAACAATGCTGTTAAACCACTAGTGTAGAGCAGTGATGAAAGCATTTTGGCCACCATATCGCCAAAAATGACGAGAAAATTATTCACCTTTGCAGACAGATGACGAACTGATTCCGACAGATGACGAACTGATTCCCCCAGATGACGAAGCACAACTTGCGAAAAATGGTGACGAATTATCAACTACCTACCACATTACACAGAGAGACCCATGACCAAAAAGACAAACGGTGACATTCTTACCAATAATACACTAATGGAGTAAGAGATACCTGGTGAAGTATCTGCAGTGATGAATGATGACGGTCTGACAACGGACTGATTTCTAACATGGAGGACTATCAAACACTTAAGCCGCTGATAATGGCTGCGAATTGAGGCTACGGATGATTCTGATGACAGAGCCTAAGTAGACACTTATTGGCTTGAAATATATTGCTGACAATTGTATGACATTTGTAGTTGCTAGTTATTTGTCATGGCCTGTGGTTCACATACGTCCTTCAACTTACTAGGGAAGGAGGCTACATTGATTTCAGGAAAGAAGTTTACAGAGTCATGGAAATAAACAGTTTTCGGCTGTTAAAGCTGCTTTGGAAAATCTCAATGGGCTTTGTCGAGTGTTCACACCTGTTAAACACCACACAGCTATCGAGAAGACGGCCAGAATCTTATTTCCTGTCTGAAAAAAAAATATATAGAGATAGTAGAGAAACTGACCCGCGTAGTCAAATCGAAAGAAGCGCATTTATTTACTGTAAATACCCTTTACGGGCCTCAGACTATTTCATTTAGATTTGTTATTTTTTCAGGACTGTACAGCTGTCAAATAAAACATATACGTTTTCATATTCAATATGTTTATTGTTATATAACAGTAGTAAACCAACTACACATCGAGTTAATAATGATGACAATCATTAACTTTCCACATTAGGCCTAAATCCAAAAGACATTTTTAGTGCCTAGGGGCTTTACAAGGATGCACCCCTTTTCCTTCCAAAAGTAGCCAGGGTAACACGCACGTATTGTAAGTTCTCGTCATTCGTTACGAACATTTTTGAATTTTTGCGAGATTGTTTTGGTTTTCTACCTCGTAATTTTTTTAAAATGTACCCTGATCAAATAGATAAAGGCAGGTGGGGGGGGGGGACATAAAAAAAATTGACTAATAGTTTCAGCTGTCATATAATTCTAAAAACAGTATATAGCACCATTGAGTCCAGTAACAACACAATTGTTACAGCATGGAATATATAACAATTCGTTTTCATTCTTACTCTTTACAAACAGTCGCATATTTATACTTCATTTTACTCAAAAAAAAAAAAAGGATAAAACTTCAACAGCAAGAAGAAAGGAGGAGCATGCATCAATGCTCGGATTCAACATAATATAGTAGATTCTGTAGACAGCCACGATACTATAAAACGCATAAAGAGACTTAGAATTGGCTAGGCTCCAATTAAATAAAGGCCGCTGCCCTAGATACAAGTCAACTGTTCCTTAGGTATTACGGTACTCAACGAACCTTCAACAGTGTACATTAGTAACATCTCAGGTCAGGAGTTGGATCGCTCGACTTTTTAAATGTTAAGTATAATAATAAACAATTCCTATGTGAAGTTAATTATTTAATAAATTACAGCGCATTTTAAATTTATTCTTACTTGCTATATATCATAATATTAATTACAATACATTGTAATTAAACATTCATTTATAAATTTGTTTATATATGATATCGTGCTGACTTTTTGAAAATAAACCACGAAGGTCTTTGGGTCTAATTCTTATAAACCCAGTTATGTTATTTGGCACTGTAAAATTTGTTGAAAGACCAAACTGCCTACATACAGATTCAGAAGAAAATATACTATATTATATCTCACAGGCATAGGCCTAGCAATACTAAAAATAGGCCTACATCAGTATTAAAGACATAAATATATTTTTAAAACTCAATATGCATATTAAAATGTGGGTAATATCATTAAAACACAATTGTAATATTAACAACTTCAGATACATTGAAATATAATATACATTATTGTACACTGATATTTACGAATTAATATTCAACCTATCAATATATACAACATTCATATTTTGCTATTAACATTTAAACCTGAAAACATTTATATTATGATATATCAACATTTAAACTACATGAATATTGATGATAAACATGATGAAATAGGGCCTATTAATATTTTAAAAAACATTAATATTTATTATAGGCCAATATGAACATTTAAGACATTAATATTAATAATATTTATGATACATTAACCAACATGTTAAATACATTAATATTCATGATACATTAAAGACATTAATATCAATAACAGTATTTTTGATATACCTGCATTTATGATTTATCGACCAACAAGTTGAACAGTTACCGATACAGTAAGATAGTAAACAATGATATTCATAATAATATTTGTTATTTTGACATATTCATGATTCAATTAAGTAGGAAATTAATATTTATGGTACAGTTATATGCATGATGTACTGATAAATATTAAATTAATTCAATATCAATTTACATGGAATAATTTTTACAATTTGATGTACTTTAATATATGTATGTATGTGTACAGAATGCAAGAAGACAAGCTAGGATCTTCTTAAAGGAAAGCTGGAAGACCACTACGGTACTTCTATATAAAGTGCATGGTAGAGTTCCACTGTAAAACAGCAAATTGATCGGCATTGAAACAGCAAAAGTGGTGTTTACTCATTCAGGGTCATATGCTAATGAGACATGGTTATCAAATTTTATTGATATCTAAATATCAATAATACATTTTAATCAAAACAGTATATATATCAACAAATAATTGATATTGATAAATTTTAAAATGAATATAATCAATAAAAATATAAATCAATAAACAATAAAAAGTTAATAAACAATAAAAATCAGTAAACAATACAAGTCATATACAATCTAAATCAATAAAAAATGGGTTCCAATAAATGCTATAAAACATAGATAAAAATCATATAACTTGCATTTTTATATATCCAAACACTGTTATACAGTATATCAAAACACAAACAACAGGAATAGTACATTTTGAAATGAACATAAATCAATAAATAATGAAATATTAATAAACAAATTAAATAATTAAACAATACAAGTAATATACAATCTAAATCAATGAGCACTAGGTTTTAATTAATGCTGTTATAAAACATATAAAAAATCTTATAACTTGCATTGTTATACATCCAACCTTAGAACTTCATGGGTATATGCATGAACAATAGGAATGGTACACTTTAGATATCCAATAATTAGCTATTAAGGGCTTTTTTTTTCATTCTAATCTTAAGTTGGAAGGTCATAACTCATTAAAATATACACAATTAGCACTTCACTTTTTGGGGGATTTTCAAGTTTATATTAGATATAATTAGCAGTATATTTTTAATTATTATATTATAAAACTAAAAATCATCAGTTCATATTTATATATAAAAAAAAAAAACTCCACAAAGAGAAACAAATAAAGGCAACACAAAAACTGTTTGTTTTCAATTGTCCAATATCTATAATCTCACTGTCTAGCATATATAAATTTGAATTATTATTTCTATAACAAAATCATAAAAACTTTCGGTACACCATGTGTAAAAATATGTTTAATTTTTTTTTATTTCCCTCACATCCAAAGGCAAGTACACTCACCACTTACAGGATGAGAATGATGCTTTATAAACTAAGTCTTTTTATGAAGCATAGGGAGAGGAGTTGATTTTAGTCGTGAGAAAAAGTCTGCTGTGACAGGAGTTGAACCCAGGACCTTGGGATCAGAAGGCAAGCATCTTAACCACTAAGCTATTCAACTCCACTTGTTGGTTGTCTCAACGTTTTGGTGAGATTGCTCTAACTATCATCAGGAGCATGATAATGATGACTAGTCCTATTTTCACACATGGTGTATTGAAACTTCTATGATTCTGTTATTGATACTTGCCATGCAAACTTTCATGAAATATAATTATTATTTTGTTATACAATCCTATCCTATAGACTTGTAAGTGTTACACTGCCCTGGAAAAAAACACTTTCTGTTTTGTAATTATAATTTCTTTTGTTCAAATAAATGAAACATAAAAATATTGATGTCGTCCTACAGGTAGCTCTCATGTTTTTCCTGACATTTTCTCTCCAACTCCTCATCTGAACTATCATACCTGTAAATAAAAAAATATTATTAATAAGCAAAGCACATTATAATATTTTATATTTCATAAACTTGTTAATTCTCATCAGCAAGATGCTGCTACAAGCAAGAAATATACAAGCAAGAAATATGTTGGTACTGATTTATAGCCTCATTATGTAGTGAGCCTATAATAAATTATTACTAATTAATAATAATAATCCAGATATTATTGTATTATAAAATAGAGTAATTATAGGTGCTACATACTTGTATATAAAAATTTTAATTTATTTTATTAAAAAAAAAAACAATTTTAGGCAAAAGGGCCAAAGATCATAAAAAGAAAATGTACACATAAATTGCTCTATATAAACTCTCATGGGGCTTAGGGTTGTTTTTTAGGTCGTGAGAAAGAATCCTGTAAACATTGACAAGACTTGAACTTAGGACCTTGAGATTGGCAAGTATCATCATAACCACCAACCTACAACTCCACACAATGCCTTCAAGAAGCATTTTTCTATGACTAACTTTATCAAATTAATTACCTTCTCAGAATCAGCTCCCCCTACCCCACCCCCACAACTTAATCAACTTACAAGTGTTGGATGCACTTCAACTTTTCAGTCTTGTAGTTCACAAACTGTCAATTGTTTCACATGTCACAGCACAAACATGCTCTAATCCGTTAAGACAATCATAATTGCTACCAACACTTTTTACCTATCAAAGATTGCTAAGACGTGAGATGCACTATTGTGTGTGTAATTACATGGTCTGTGCGAATTCAATTATCTCGGTGAGTCACACTCAATCAATGGATCACACTCACTTAGTGAGTCACACTCGCTTTCAATTTAACACTTGAGATACATCTCAAATCGCTTCCTACTACTACATTTTTTTTCTATAAAATATTTAAAGATATCTGAAATGTTTAGCTTACCATGCTCTTGATTGTGTTTCATCCGAGATACTCTCATTCCAATGTGAACGCCTGTCCCCAAATTCTTCAACTTCATCAGTCTGTCGAATGGAAATAATATTGTAATATAAAATATGCATAAAATATTATAAAATTATATAGGACCACTCACTGCTTAACCATTAAAAATATATTTGACTTTATATAGTATCTTTGTCGAGTAAATATGTTTCACCGATAAAATTATATATTTTTGAAAATAACTAACTTTGTATGGGTTATTAATTATTATTAATTATATTTATTTCCAATTAATAGATGATGTATATAATCACCCTTATATTCCTTCAATTATTTGGTATTATCACCATCAGCTATTGTCTGTTTTTTGATTGTTTTTAATATTATAAACAATATATTGTACAACTTCTTTTTATTGGTAAAGCAATGATAAACTTTGCTTTTATTTCAGTTCACTGACAATATTTTTGTCAAAGTTTTCAAAGGTTTTCCGAGAATTTGCAAGAAAATATTTTGAGAACGCATCAGGTGATAAAATTAGATTAAGTGAAGGAAACAGATTATACATTATCAGCAGGTAAAGTTTTGTTACGAGTTAAAATTTGTAAATGGCCATGGATTTCTATAATTAGTGTCAACTCCACCCTATAAGTTCATTTCCTCTAGAAATACTTCTTCACATACTCATTGTACCATAGTTTATACAGATGAGTAATATAGTACACTTACCGATCCGTTGGCAATCCTCAGGTTATCCTCCGATAGTTGACCATTTGATCTGATCTTACGAGGAGGGAAGTCGCAACCCGATTCCTGGACAGACCCTGCTCGCATATTCAAAATTTCATGTTTCTCACCATTTCTATTAGGAGCCACTTTCATTTCAGCATTTCTTTGTTCGAATTCATTTTTTGCAAAAAATTGGTTATGACCATCTGACTGATTTTGTTCCGAAAATAAAGTTTTCTCATCAATGGCAAAGGTGATGTGCCGATCCTTTGCTTTTTTACGGTCTTTTCTAATTTCTCCCGGAGGAGTTAGTATCCCTGATCTTGCGTTATTATTACCGTTGTGACCGTTCCTCAACAAAGGTACAACATACGACCTTGTGCCTGTACTCGCGTCTGAATTTGCAGGAGCTTGATTTTCCTCAACAACTGTCGACAGCGTCGTTTCGCCATCGACATCAATCTTGATCAGTTTTCTGTTGTGTTTGTTAGGAGCCTGAACTCTGCGCAGGCAATCTGGCATTTGTTTCAAAGCAATGTACTTGTTGGCGGGCAGATGTCTTGCAAAGATTCGATGTAAATTTTCTGTGCTATTCTCAATCTTCTCAACTATTGGTGCAGGCCTTGATTTTTTGTAGATTTCCTTTAGGGATGATGAAACTGAAATACTGGGTGACATGCCAGGTGATATGCCAGGTGAAATGCCAGGTGAAATGCCGGATGAAATGCCAGGTGAAATGTCAATGTCCTGTGGTTGGCTGGCTACGACATGATTAACATTAACGTTATGAGTACATTTATTTATATTGTAATTTAATTTGCTAGCTAATTCGTGAGAAATTGAATCATGATCAGAGTCAAGTGGAATTGTTTCACCATTAAATTGTTTGCAATCTCCATTCTTTGACTTTGTGGCAAAATATGTACGTAACCTTTCACCTCTCATTTCAGACTTCGTAACTTTTGGTCCGACTCCAAGTGAACTATTTGAACTTCCACTTGACTGCGGAGAATGAACAGGCTTCACTATAGATGCGGTTTTAGATTCTATCTTTTGTGATGATCCTGAATAAAATTTATCAGCTGCGAACCCATGTTCCTTAATATTTTGTGATTGGTATTTCCAGGTCAAGTGACATGGTACACCTGAATCTGAGTTGGCACGTCGTTGACCTAAATCGCAACATTCTTGATTGAGTGTAGGATTAATCAAAGGTGAGCTTAGTGTAGAGGTTTGGCTATTACTCAGAGAGTCGGTGTCATGTCTCTGTATCATACCCCACGCCTTTTTGTCTTCATCAGTCTTAGCAGACTGGACCTTCAATATTTGCAGGCTTACTTCTTTCAACTTATTTCTGCAAAAAAAAAAGTTATATATTGTCATTTTGTTCATTTGTTTTGTTGATTCTTCTTTATTTTTAATACGTAATGTTATGCAAGCATTTTAGCTTTGTGCTAATGCTTTGTATTTGTAGTTCTTATATCTCAATATTAATAAATAAATATATATATAAAATAAACACATTTTCTAACTTGAAATTCTTACCAAAAAAATATTCTAAATATATCACCTATCAAGGAAAAACTACATAAAAGTATGTTAAGAAATACTTTTGCCATTAGCATTGAATAATAATACTACATTATACAAAGTATCAATATAAAAATGTTGTGGCAAGAATAGAAACCAAAGTGCTCTCAATTCAATAATTTTTGTATTTTCAAATTACAAATCAAATTTCAGACTAATCGATATGTGTTTACAATCTGTTGACAAGTGATCTACAGAATAATCATTAATGAAGCAAGCAAATTCCCATGCAGTATTAACCTAAAGTTGGTCAACTTTTAGGCTAAATTGTGATAGCCTAGATATTGCACTTTGCCGCCTATGTTGAGCTTAATGAGTACTCTAGTCTGAGATCTAGAATTCAATATTATCTTAATTAGGCCACCAATGCACAAGCTAAGGCTACGAACTGCTCAATATTTCAAGCGATTATACAACTTTTTACTACTTAGTTTAAAAAAAAAAAACAAACAAATATGTGTCACTTTTCCCAACACAGAGAAGGTTAGTTAACCTCCACTTAATACTTCAAAGTGCCGCAACAACAGCAGAAACATTTTAAGTAAAAAAAGATTGCGTCATTTGTCATTCTGACATACAGTACTACCATATGTCACTTCAGTGCAAATGCTTCTTTGTTATTTCTGATATTCAATTTCTGTATAGTTTCTTGTCACCTGTCACATCAATTTGTCTTGTTGATATAAGTATCCCATGTGCAAAAAAGCAAGCATCTATACGGCAATAACTCAAGTGAAACTTGAAATGAACGTTAATGTATTTACCTTAACAAGTTCATTGGTTGTAGTTGTTCGAAAGACACAATCGGTCTCTGATACGGTTGTTGAATCCGTTGTATAGTGCTCTCAATCTTTTGCAACTCACTCCCTTCTGGACTATGACGACTACTGCCCTCACTCAATAAGCAATCACATGCATCGCTCAGTTTATCTGCTTTCTCTTTTGCTTGGGCACTGCGATGTAAGCATGAAATCATTAATGTAATAAAAAATAAAATACTGGTTCTTTATGTTTGATTGCCGTATAAAGTTTCAAAATATCGTTAAAAAAAAACCATCTTAAAACTCCATTGAGACATTTGTGGATATGTCAAAGATCCCAGGTGGATATTGGAAAGGAAATTGAAAGTGTGGTTGTAATTTAGATAACTTGGAATTTCTCGTGTCCACCTGTGTATTGGGTAAGTATTTGTGGAATGTGTTATTTGAAGAATTTCCTGTAATGGGTAGTTGTGACACCTGGTAAATACTTTTGAAGAACTGTGCTGAATAACAGAACCAATGATACTTCCTCTTCAAACATTACATGTGATGTCATAATGACAATGACCTTGTGCGAGTATCGTACTTTCTACGAGTCATAATTCTAAAATCAATCCTATTACTTAATGAAACGATAGATTGTATCTAGAATAAAGTTTCTATTTCTGAGCCCAAGCTAATGCATATTAATATGTTACAGATTTATATGAATATTATTAATAGACATAAAGCAACTAATGATAGTTGCACTTGAATACTAACATATTTTGCTATCTTCACTTCCTAAGTAATATCTTTAAATTATATTATAAATAATTAAATATATAGGAAATCAATGTTATGTAGGTTTTCATAAAAATACTACATAAATGAAATTTTTTCTGAAGAGGTATGATCTTGAGATGCAAGCATTGTTTTTGGCATTATATTGATTTATCATTATCGGTAAACCACTACAATGGTGACAGTGGAGGTCATGGTAGAAGCGTCCTCGTCACGGCCCTGGATAACGCCAATTCTACCACAACCACAAGGTATACCATTATCATCATGCCAGAGTGGGTCCTTTCTAGGGCCTGCCCTTACAGTCATATCTGTAAACGTCAAAGGTTTCTGTGGACACATTAAGTGGAAGAATCACTACATTATAAATGTTATCGTTGATGGCCACAGCTGCCTCCACTGTCACCACCATCGTCATCACCATTCCTATCAACATCATCACATTTGCTAAAAGAGTATCACCATCTACATAGCTATCATCATTTTTAACATCATCTTCATCATTATCATCATCATTATCATCCCCATCATCTTCATCAATACCATGATCACCATCATCTTCTTCTCTATCATCTTCATCATTAATAATATCACTATTATCTCCATCAAGCTTTGTAAACTGTGAGGAAAAGGCGCTATATAAATAAACATTATCATATATTCCTCATCAGTGGCAGTCCAGGAATATGAAATGGAGGGGGCCCAGAAAGGGACTTCCACAGATAGACGGTCTACAACCTCATCCCCACCATGGTTAGGGCTGAGGTAAGGAAATTTATGATTTTTGCACCTCTAGATGGCCGAAATTTGAGTAGAATTTTCTATTCTCTTGGATGGGGAAGGGGGGGTGCAGGACGGCTGGGCCCTATTTAATCCGCCACTGCTCATCATCTCCCTCATCATTCTGACAATCGTCCCATCATAATATCATCATCTTGATAACAGGTGTCCCAAGTCTCCCTTAAGTCACAAGAGTCTACCAGGAGCAACCTCAAGTGAGTGGTAGGCTGAGAGGTATCGTTCCTACTTCTTGCGTTGAAGACCCCAGTTCAAACCTGGCCAGCATCGGATTTTAATTGGAGTCTAATGACAAACCCAAATAACCCTCACATTGAGAGTTAGATGGGTTAAGGGCAATGTTTGTATCCGTATGTGTCCGTTACTTAAATGCTAAGATAGGTGGCGCTGTACTAAGGCTAACACGGATCCCCAGGGGCCAGCCCAAATTTCCGATTTTTAATTTGAATAAAGATAAATAAAGAATTATTAATATTATTATTATTAAATCTCTGGGAAAATAACCCATCTACTGCAAATTCACAATATTTGCATGTTTTACTACTGTTTTATCAATTATCTCCTGGAAATCAGTGTAAATGGGTTTCATCATCCACAGCAAAAAATATAATTAGGTGTGTTTAGAAAGCTCATTTAAACAAATCTCCTGGATGTGGATCTTCCAACTTCCAACCCCTGTCCTTAATATTGTCTTCATATCATTATCAACTCTGTAGTAGTACCTGCAGTTGATGGATGGTTTGTCTTTACTCTGCAAATGCATCATGTCTAGCTTTTTGATAAGCATACTGGTGAGGCTCTGGTACTCTGCTCGTACCTCCTCAACCTTCTTCATTAGATCCGTCTTCTGCATCTGGATCAAACCATCAGTGCATGCCACAGCCTGGAAAATGAAACAAAAATGTTTACGATTGAAATATCAATCTGATTTTTAGCACATTATTCACAAGAAGAAACATACTAAACAGCCAATTATTTTTTTTAATGGAGAAAATATTCAAATTTAGGTCTGAGAGTGCCATTTCCGGTCATCTGTTGGCAAAATTATAAATTGTCTTACCTCAGCCCAACCATGGTGATGCCGAAGTGGTCTAGACCCGCCATTTATGAAAGTCCTTCCCAGGGCCCACTCTATTTCACATTCCTAAATTTGCTACTGCTAAAAAAGGATTGTCAGGATTGTCAAAAGTGAACTCAATCACTTCCAAAAAGATATTAATATTTATACTGTGAGTTAGATCAACTAGTTGGAAGGCGGTTTCAGAATTTTGAGATTTTGACTTAGCAAAATCTTTATACTTGCATGCTACAAGCAAGAGTGTAATGTGTAGCAGAGTTCTCTATCATCCAAAAATAAACCTCCCTGATAAAGCACCTAAACAATGTAACAAATATTATGAGGCAAGTGTCTGCAATTTAGTCATATAGTTTTTCATTGAAACCAGATGCCTGTCATTTTATTTGATAATAACTGTTGACATATATGATTGATATGACCATCATATAGCTCAATCAAAACATCAAATAAATTTATTGGCTAAAATTGATAGCGCGTAATAGCACTGACACAAAAAGTATGATATACCTCTGCCAAATTTATCGAAAAATGTAATCACATTTAGTTTTTTTTCAGTGACTTTTTGAGCCCATGTTATTTATTACATAGAATGAAGCAATTGAGGACACATTCAACTTTTGGCACAGAGGATGGCGTAGCCTAGGTGGCGCCATTTAACGTTTGGCACATATTATGATGTAGCGGTCGAAGGGGACATCATTTAAAGACATACTGTGTTTAGCTAAGCTTGTACAATAACATCCAATCATAATGAACTGTTCACCATGTTTATTTATGTACAGGACACTAGTGTGGCGATAGCCTGGTTTCCTTAAAATCGCTACACTGTCACTAAAGTGTTTTCAGTACAATCTTTGTAATGTGTTGCAGTCCTTGATGCAATCCGAAGAGGCTTCCTGATTCAACCGACCAATCAGCATCACCGGAAGTTGTTGGCGAGAGTGTGTAGCGATTATATGTAAACCAAGCTTTATCTTCCATCTCCAAGGATTATTATTTTCATGTATGTGTATTATAGGATGGGTAGGTGTTCATGAGTTTTAATATATTGTGAAGAGTTTATGTGAATTACATATATGTATATTTTTGAATATTTTTCAGGCTTTTGCTTTTGTTGTACTTGCTCCATCTTCTGTTTTCTTTTTTATACTTTGTATTTTGTGATTTTGATGTGAAATAAAGATTGATTGAAATTAAGGTATGTTAATCATTCTTACATCTTCTAGCCTTGACTTGAGCACAGTGTTCTCTTGTTCAGTCCTAAAAAGAAAAACATCTTAGAATTTAAGAAATTATGTAATAATAACAATATATTTTGAGCTCTCATGTTACATTGATGGCTACTGGTGGTATTATTCATTATCTTAATTACATTTAATTAATGAATGAAGTAAAATTTCTGTTCCTGTTCCTTTGTTAAAATTGTATGACTTTATAAATTTGGAAAAACAAGTCTAATAGAAATGTCATACTCTCGCAGTTCTCTCTGAAGGCGAATCACTTGATCAGACAACATGGAACAGGCTTCAACGACGACCAAAAACTGGGCACATGTTGAGTATCCGTGCTTGAGAGCTAAGGAACATGGCGTTTGTTGTTTCTTGTTCAGTAAAGTTATATCTTGATTGAACTCAACTAGGGTCTAAAAAAAGTGGGGAAAAAAATCAATGGAAATTAGATATACTTTTTATAAGTGCATTTCATAAAATGTATTCACAAAAATACATTTGCAAGACTTATTAAAAAGGTTCTCCCTGAACAGAAATACACAATAGATTTTGAGAAAATCAGTTTTATTTATTTTATTCACTTTTTAAATATTTGTTGAAATTTCTTTTTACTTTTACTTATTGGCCTATATTACCAATATTTTCCATATCAATTTCTTACTTGTATGTTGAAAAGCCTGTCTATTTATATGCGAGATGTGAGTAAGAGCAAATAATTAAAGGAATTGATTGAATTATTAAAGCGATACTCTATGGTATAATCATTTATATTTCAAAACATGTGATGTATAAACAGGGGCAGATCCAGAATTTTTCAAACAGAAGGGCACAACGGTTTCAGAATAGGTAAGTGAGTAGCACATAACATTGATTTGCATTGAATTTTTTAAAATTTAGTAGTAAAACAGGGGGGATGGGGGTACATTCCCTCCATGCCCCCTCTCCCTACTGGATCTGCCCCTGATAAATAAAGGGAAGTCAGATGGATAGAAATGAGATAAAATATTTGAACAGAAATATGTCTTTAAAAAAAATTGGAAATATAAGAAATTGCAACTGACTCAATCAACTATATAAGCATTTGTTTAGCAACATCAAAAAATCATTTCAATGACTCATTGAAACCTTACAACTTCCTAAATTTATGATAAATAAGTTAAAATTTGCATTTAATCCCTGACTAGTGAATTTTGACACGTAGTGCATTTAAAAATTGGCAGTTTTTTATCCATTTATTACTTAAAAAATTGAATAGAGTTTGAAATTTCCAAAAATAGATTATTTTTACCACAAATTGTATGTAAAGTAAGGTATATTAAGAAAACATTCCATTAAAAGATTTTTATTGCTGGAGACTTACATTGACAGTCATTTGGGTTAGCTTTAAAGGTAACCCTTCTCATCACTGTTTATGTTGGTCTAATTTAATGGTGTTCTGAGTACTCTTTCCATTTTATATTGAGGAAAAATAAACTAAATTAAATTTAAAGTATTTATCAAAAGATATAAACATGTTAAAATTAACGAGCATTTTTTCTTAAAAACATGAAAGTAGTGATAAGCATTTTAAAGATCAATAAACCATATCAAACGTTTCCTCCGACAGCAACAGAATACACAATGTCATGACACTGAGTTGTCAACCTTTCTTTTTTAACGTCTATCAATAAAATGAAATGAGTTTTAAAAAATGATGAAACCTTATCGCTACAATCTGGCACCTTTCCCTTGATGATTTGAAGTATGCCAAAATTGTTCATTTACACTAATAGTGTGATCTGCAGGATATTAATAATTACAGCCAACTTTCAGCTGTGTTATATTTGCAATGAGGATCACAGGAAAGGATATACGCTTTTATAAATATTTCTTTACTATTTCAGAAAAAAAAAAATCAATCCAGGTTTAGGAAATCTGTTTTACTGAGCTAGACTATAATTACTAGTAATTAGGTACAAAAATGCATACAGTATGAATTTTTTATTATTTTTGGGACAACCAAATTCGCATCAGCTCTGCATTTATTTGGGTTTTCTCCAAATATAATCATATATTATGCCTATTATTCTTTTTTTATATCTACAATGCAACGATCTGTGTACTCAATTTTGATGAAGTGCAATTAGTGCATAACTGATATACTATTGTACGGAGAAATACAAAATAAGTGAACAAAATACAAATGTTTCAAATTATGTCCTTGTTGCATCAACACTGTCTTTATAAAAATGTCAATTGATATGACCTTAGAAAATTCTATCAAGCTTGGGTGTCTAACAACAACTATGTTTCAGCAGTGAAACTGCATAACAACTGATGTCACAATGTCAGTCAAAGACAGCCGAAGTGTTTGCAGAAACAGCTCCCTACAGTATCAGCGTGTAAAGATTAGAAACTCAATGGCTTTTCTATGCAAAAAAGCTCTCACGCAAATAAAATGTTGCACGAGTCAGTCATTTTTACGTCAATCTTATTATTATTATTATTGTTGCATATTTATATAGCGCATATTTAAAACTCTATGCGCTTAACAATTACAAATTAATCATTATTTATTTTATCATTTCATTGTAAGTTAATAGTTAAAGGTTTTTTATTCAAGAATTGTGAAATTACAATGTATAATGGTAAACAACGCAGGGTCTCAAAGGGTCAACCATCCGTCACTGCCCAGGCGTAATCCGACCTCTACCTAGGTGGCGCGAACAAAGTACTGTAGCAGGTTACACATTTGCCCTGCCACAGACGAATGGGTACTCGGGGACAGTGACCAAGATAGTGGCCCCCTAGAGACAGAGCAGTCACATTTGTAATCAAAAGAGAGAGAGTAAAAGAAAAAAAAATTACAATAAAGGACTGAAGAAACATGGGAATTTAGTTTTCACCAAAGACGGAAACAAAAAGATGAACACATATATTAGGCATCATGTCATTACATGCTTCGCATTTACTACTCAAGCAACGAATCAAACAAAAAGGACGATTGTACATTTAAAATTGGTAAAAGATATAACAGAAAAAATCATTTTAAAACCTAAACCAGACACAATACAAAAGATTGACAATTTGAAAAAAATAAAAAAATAAAAAAAACTCCAAAAAAAATAAAAATTAAATTAAAAATTAAGAATAGCAGAGATTAAGTCATGAAAACCCACTCCTCTGTGGTTTTATTATATTTCAAATGGAGTCCAAAGATAATGAATATGCAGTGAAAAACAGCTAGAGTGAAAAAGAAAGCAATTAGATTACATAAAACTCATTTGACAAAGGTAAATTTAGCCCTAGGTTTAAATTAATCTATAGTCTTTAGAGCTGATCTGTAGACAATTTCTTGAACCAACTAAAAGTTTTCAACCCACTCTCTTAAATGGAAGGACAAAATGCCTTGCCCAAGGAGACAAAAGGAAACAAACAAGTGGTCAGTGAGTTCAAACTCGAACCACTGATTGAAAACATGGCTGGGCTGCATACTACCACTTTCAAATTTTAAAAACAAAGGGGCCAAATTTTTTATTTATCACATAACTTGAACATATTTATCGATTTCATGACTTAGAAAAAAAAAACCAAATTATGAATCAACTTCATAAAAATCAACTAAAAATCGCGCCAAACTATAAATTTTGTGCAAACAATCATGTCCAGTCTCTAAAAATAGTTTGTGGGAAGGATTATCAAGAAATGGGTACGCTTCTGTCCAAAACTTTGGCATGCATAGGGTATTTTTTATTAGTTTGCCCAAATTTCAAAGTTCAAATTTACACAAATTTGCCCGAATCATCGCCAGGCAACAGACATTCATACTTAGTTTTTCTCTTAGAGGAAACTGTTTTAAGTTACTGAGATAGAATCGCAAAATCCCAACAGGATATTTTTCTGTCAACACCATTCAGAAAAAAATTTTCAGACATTATGCTATTAAGAATTATTCATACATTCAGTATGAAACAATAAATATATGTTAACAAAAAGTATGAAAACGTTAGAATCATGATATCCCCGCAAGTGATGCTAATACAATGGCTACACGCCAGGCACATCATCTATTTAGCATCGGAGCTCTTCTCCTATGGGGACAGAACAGGTGAGTGGGCTGTCGTGTCTAATCATATTTGCCAAATTTGGTTTTCAAACTTCGTAAGCCTTGATGTAGCTGAATGCTCCTTATCTACTAAAGAGTTCCTTCAAGAATTATAAACAATCGGATCTATGCAAAGTTTCAATCCTGCAATTTGTTGCGCATTTTGCATTGAACATGCGCATCTTGGATTATTGTTCGTAAATTCAATTTATGGGGTTTCGCGCATGATGAATATCTTTATAAGCCTAATAAAACCCAGACTATGCTGGCAAAGCTTAAACCATCAGGAAAAAAAAAAGGCACAGGAATACCGTACACCTGAACATCATTACAATTCTCAACAAAAAAAACTAAATCTAACTAGTTTAGTAGTTGTCTTCGGCACTGCGCAAGTGACTGTCATTAATGAAAACACTATTTGCCATGATTAGCATCCTCAATGTCGGATACAGGAAGAGATCTAAGGAGATGGCCTACTTCCTGACCCTCAGCTTTCACTAGGGGCTAGAGCTAAGACAGCTGTCCACGTGAAACAAATGACTGACGTCTTACTAAATTGAAAATGATCGCTGATGAAAATGACTGTGAAAACAAGCCTGTCCCCTGGAGATCAATCACTAATCAAGCAGATTAGTAACATATTCAATCGAACCGAGTCTCAAAAAAAGAATCAGGGCTATGATAACGCTACGTCCTGATTGACGATAACCAATATAAAACCCAAGAATAGTTAATGGATCAGGTGACTGACCTGGATGCAGTAGAGATGTCCATACTTGGCGGCAAGGTGTGCCGGTGTGTTGCCTTTGTTGTCCAACACATCTATCGGTATATCCTCATTCTGCATATAGGCCAGCAACCACCTCAAACAAGCTTCCTGAAATTACAAACAAATACATAAAATGTAAGTAATGCAAATATTACATTCTTAATGCATTTTACAGCAAATTTTCGTTGAATCTAATAATTACTGTACCGTACTCGCTCCAATAAGTGCCCAGTTTGAATAAGCACCCCTCTTGAATAAGCGCCTCTCCTAACGTGAAAATTGTCTTAAGCGACCCATTTGAATACGCATCGTTCTTGTTTTATTGCTACCCTTTCTGGATTTAGAACTACAGTATTTAATATCCAAAAATTAAAATGCTGTATGGCCATTTTCAGTCAACAAAAATAAACTGACATCATCTCTCTCGTATTTAAGCAAGAAACCCTCCAATGATCCTGCTAATCTGAATTGGCAGATAGCCAACATGCTTACCACGCGGTTGTGTAAATACCCCCAACATTCTTGTCATGAGCCGATTACCTTTTCTTCATTAAAACCATTCGTTTATCTTCTATTAAAAAAAAAGTGCCCCTTGAATTTTCCAATTTCCCATAAGCACCCCTTCAATTTGCATCTATTTCCATAAGCGCCCCCTCAATTTCCACTCTGTTTTCATAAGCACCCCTTAAAAAAGGCGAAAAATATTTAAGCACCCGGGGCGCTTATTCGCGTGAGTACAGTAATTCCAGTTTGAAACCCTTCAGAAAAAGCAATTGCGACAATTTTAGTTAATATAACAATCTTATTAAACAGTTTTAATTTTAAATATATGTAGAATTACATATTTCATCAGGCCTATCTTTGCTATATAGTTTTGCTTTGACCAATTTCGAAGACAATCCAAGCATGGAAAACGACCAAAGAGACAGGTAGAAAAACTTTGTGAAAAAACACAGGGCAATGGGACAGAGGAAACAAGAAAAGAAAATTTGAACATAAGTATATAAATGATTTTGAAGTTTATATACAAATGATTGTTCCTAATATCATTGTTTGTTTAAAAAGAATGTTATCTGGTATTACGTATTTTCAACCTTTATTATACATATGCATTACTGTTTGTGATTCCTATTATTTGTAAAATATAACAACTTGTATTTGGCATATGGTATTTCAACCTTAGCACGCTTCATACTTAGAAAATGTTAGTTTATTGCACAAATTTGATTATTATTTGTTAAGACAGCATTAGATTTTTAAAAGTATCATAAACACTTTCTCTTCTTGTTTTTCCATGTACATTCTAATGGTACCTGTATGCTAATTATCAAAAACAACACAATTTATGTAAAGTGACAAGATAAGAATCATGTAGGAAAGTTTACCTATCCCCTGTTCATAATTCTATCTATAAATGGGACAAATTTCCCTCTGCAAATTCTGCTGTTACCTTGTCAAGTTTACTAAGCATCTTGTTAGCAGTCAAATTAAGTTTCACACCAGGGAAATACTGCGCAAAATTCTAGACATGTTTAGTCTTTTTAAATCACATTCAAATTCATCTTAAAATATATCTTTCACATTATCCTTAATTCAAAATAAATAAAAATATTTACATACACTATAAATTAATTAAAGACATACTCTTTGGTGAAATCTAGAAAATCCCTCAAAAATTCATATAAAACAATGAATTATTTAAAATAATATCAATAATGTTTTTGCCCTATCTGACGTGTTATTGTACTGGGTACTCAGGACATTCCCAAATACTGGTATCATACACGCTGCTAAATTGGAATTGGATTCAACACTTGCCACTTAGCGCAAGCATTGGTGTTCTAGTGGTATGAAACCAGCCTTGTTCTGGAGGTCGTGGTTTTGATTTGCACAAAAATCACTTGCAAGATTTTTTTCACAAGCATTTGGGAACATACTGAGCATTCAGTTGGTTAACATGTCAAGTAGGGAAAAAACATCACTCCTATCCAAAAATTCATCAACTTCTAACAAGACAAAATCAAAACAAGTGTAATTTTGGTTATTTAAAGATTTGTACTACAAAAATCCTTAAAACTGTTTACTAGTCAATTTAAGGGAAAAACTATACATCCTTAAACCGTTTGCTAGTCAATTTCAGGAAAAAACTGTATGTTCGGTATTATATACAGTAGGCATCTGATAATTGGTCAGAAGGAATATTTGAAATTCTGAATTTTAATTGATACATTGAATCTTAAATATTAAAAAGATTTAAATATTGAATATTATTGTTATTTTTTATAAGTTTATTAACTCAAAATTAACAGCATGTCTTAAAAAACACTTGATCAATTATATGATAGTTTTACTTAAGTAAATAAAATTACCTTTCTATTAATGTTAGTTCCTTTTTAAAAAAATTTCACTTTTTTAAGGAAATGAAAACGGTTATTTGAATTATACAAATAATTTAATATATTTTATGAACATGCCCATGAGTACACGCATTGACTTTGCTACTCTTCCAAAATGAAACTTAGTTTAATGACAAATGACACAAAACTACAGATTCACTGTCAGATCTTACTGTAGATTGGCTGGGGTGAGGGGTCTTGGCCATATACCTATATTTTAGATTTTATCACTTTTTTATCGTGTTACGGAAACAGGAGTGTATCCCATTTTTGGTCATTTCGAGAAAATGACATGTTAAGGTTTAGTTAATACCAGTGTGTATCACTATTACCACACACTTTTAGTTTACTTAGACCTGCACTTTAAAGACCCTGTTTATTCATGATTTATAACTTGATCTATTTTTATTATACCATACAGTATTTTATTATTATTAAAGATATTTATTTATTTGGGTATACACCTTCAGATCGGTGGTACACGTTTAAAGTGAACGGTGCATCCTTATAGTAAAACAAATATAACAAAAGAACAGAAAATATAAACCAATCAACATAATGCTCTGTAGTCTAGCTACAGAAAAACTAAAAATAAAGAAGCAAATTTCAAAGATAATGGTAACTATTTATGTGAGCCTATAATATAAACAAAAAAACACTTTTGGAATGTAAAAAATTTAATTAATACATCAAAAAATTCTAGATACCATCTTGTTGCAATACTGAAGTACAGTAATAAAAGGAATTGCATTTATATAATGTACCTCAATAAATATGAGTATAAAGCAATACAGTATATCCCTTGACACAACCCCTTGACACAACCCAACTCTCAAGTGCTCATGTACACTTCCAGCCACAATCATGTCAATACTTAGAACCACAAGCAACTACCTGCAGGTAGTAGTAGTTGCTGACATGCTTATGTTGCTTCAGACTACAATTAGTTAGAACTAGTTGCCATGCGAGTCGAATGGCCGACTAGTTAAGGCAGTGGCACCGAAATCCAGCTACAGCCATATTTCCCATGGTTTGAACGGCACGCTCGCTTATGGTTCTGGTGGTGGAACAAGTCTTCTCGGATAAGGACTATAAACCGTAGGCCCAGTGTACACAATTGGCTCGTGTGCACTTTAAAGAACCATATATATCTTTTGAGACGAGTAAGGTGCTAACCCGGTATTAGGTCCTTTGCAGGATGTATCTACGTAAACGTGAACACTACCGTCAGCATATGCGGGATGCACATAGTTATGGATAACCAAGTGCAACTAAGCCCCTAAATACTTCAGTTGTTTCAATGAAAAGAGTGCTCATGTTTCCATAAACAGTGCAAAATCACAGTCGCTTAAATCTTAACCGCTGACCAGTTGCCGAAAGTAAGTCGAGATGCAAGGGTACAACGTAAGCTATCTTAAACTTGTGCAGCAGTTGAAGCTGAGTGTACATTCCTTTGTTCTCGCATCAAAATGCAAGTAAACATTGTCCAAATGTTTAGATATGACTAGTTGCTGCATTTAAACTAGAAACTGTTTATCCCAGGTAATTTTAAGAATACTGGCAAACTATGGTATTATAAGGAATATCCTGACTTTTTAAGGAAGAGTGCGACACCGTCAGCAATGGAGGAAACAATGCTCTGAACCTGCTGAAAGACAGAAAACCAATGATGATGATCATGATACATTAAGTAGGTGAGAAAACTCTCCTCTCATTCTAATTTTTAGAAGCTAATATCCAACTAATTATACAAAGGAAGCAATTAAAACGTTCAATTTATTGTTATTAGATCAAAATGTACCATAAAACCTGGACCATGAAATTTAGGGGAGGGTAGCAGTGGTAGGTGTGTTAAGCCCTGTATCTGCCACTGGATTTAATAATACAATGTAGTGGTTGAACACGACATCAAGCGTAGCTGATGATTGAAGGTACTGCATTTGTTATGATGATCAATCCATCATCACTGACATGAACCTGATATCTCTACAGCCGATTACTCATCCAAGTTGACAACTAGACCACCTTCAGACTGTGGGTTGACGAACGCTTGTCATTGCTTTTGTTTCCTTTACAAAGAGTCAGACCTCACCTAACCACTAGGTTCCCAACAAACTTATCTAAAATAAAATCACAAGACAGACTGTTTATTGAGGTTTTGTGATGCGCTCAGGTTAACAGTTCAAGATCACTGCAGTGCCTAACAAATGATGCAGAGTTCCCCCTTAAAACCTTACTCATTGTTGCGTTTCAGTGCCCTGTGATTACAGCGATGATTAAGACATCCATACTGGTTGCATTGTGTTCCCTGAATTCTATGATTAAAAGCTCAGTCATCAATACTGCTTACGATTCCCCTCACCATGATTAATACTTAGTTCCAATTTCCCCCCTCCCTCCCGTATTACTGTAGTGTGTTCCTGCTGTCGGTTGCTTTGTCACATTGTTCCCCTTATATTTTTTTAGTGTTCTCCTCAATACTGTGATGATAATGAGCTCACTGTTCAATGCTACTTTCCCCCTCCCTTCCTACCACAGTATGACCTTACACACATTACAGGGTTCCCCTTATTACAGTGATATGACCTCATTGCTGAATCATAGTGTTTCCCCCCTCATTATGATTATTACCTAACTGGTTAATGCTGCATTCCAGCTGTTCCCACTCGCCCTTTAATGTGTGTTACCATAGGCCTACCTCACTGGTTATTG